TGTGAAATTAGGGGTCAGACTTCATGATCTTAAGGTCCCTTCCAGCAAATGTTTCTCAACTCCTGGAGGCCCTGAGAGGTCCAGGAGTCAGACCCCAGGGGACATCCCCTCATCCCCGGGAGGGAAATCTGTCTGTCTCTCACCAGATCCTCTCCCATAGGGCTGTGTCTGAGCCTGGGGATCACAGCACATATTGGTGAGTCCCCTCTGCCCCCCAGCCCCTCTCCCTGATCAGCATAGACAGACATTCCCCTCAATGAGTCGGCCTCCAGAGCAGGAGCTAGGGGGAGAGGCTGGGGCTCTGGACCGAGCTGAGTCGGCAGGGAAGGCTGGGGTGGGGGTGGGGAGGAGTAGGGGGGCGTGACAGCCCTGGCTCTGGACTCTCGTCCTCTTCCAGTCACGCTCTCCAAACCCATCCTCTGGGCAAAGCCTCGCTCCATGGTCGCCTGGGGCACAGATGTGATCCTGTGGTGCCAAGGTCCCCCTGGAGTTGACATGTACCGCCTGGAGCGGCTCGACTCCCCCAGTGACTATAAGGACCAGCCTGGCCTTCCGGGGCCAGAAGCCCGGGCACGATTTCCCCTGGGCAGTGCGCTGGCCTCTGTAGCAGGCAGGTACAGATGCTCCTACAGGAATGGGAGTCACTGGTCACAGCCCAGCAACCAGCTGGAGCTGGTGGTGACAGGTGAGGGGGGACACTGCTGAGACCATGCAGCCCTGAAGCCTGGGAGCTGGGTGGGGGGAGGGGAGCCCAGGGGCAGTGGGGGAGGGGGACCAGAGGTGGGGGGAGCCCAGGGGCAGCAGAGAGTGGGGCCAGAGGCGGGGGGAGCCCAGGGGCAGCGGGGGAGGGGGACCTGAGGTGGGGAGATTATCTTCCAGCCAGAGAAAGAGGAAGGCTGAGCTTCTGTACGCACACAAACACACACACAAACTCACACACGTACACACCTGTACAAACATGCCCAGCCCACCAGGAACAGGAGCTCCCCTGTAACATTCTATCTCCTCCTTCCCAGGCTTGTATGACAAACCCTCCTTCTCCATCCTGCCCGGCACCGAGGTATCTTCTGGGGAGAGTGTGACATTCTCCTGCAGCTCCAAATTTGGCTTTAATACGTTTACAATAGCCAAGGAGGGCAGAGCCGGCATCTGGAGGACTCAGGAAGGGAGGTCTCCCGTCCACTTCCCCATCCCTACGGTGACCACCAGCCACAATGGCACCTACCGATGCTATGGGTTTGACAGTCACTTTCCCCATCTGTGGACAGCCCCCAGTGAACCCTTGGAGCTCCGGGTCAAAGGTAAAGGATCCCCAGCCCAGCAGAGGCCGGAAAGCTCATGGGAGGTCCCTGGGAATCTGAGGCAGGGGACCGAGACAGAGATCCTAGAGTCTGAGAATGGGTAGAATACTTCTTGCCCAAGGCTAGCAAGCTTCCTGAACAATCAATGCATTGTTGCTTCTGGAGTTCTGGAGTCAAGCTGAAATGAGTTGAATTGAATCGAATCGAGTTGAGTCAGACTGAGCTGAGCTAAGAGCAGAGAAAGACTTGGGATAGTCCAGGGGCAGTGTGGTGGAGTGGAAAGAGCCCTGGCTTTGGAACCAAACTTGGGTCTGAATTTGGGCTCTGCCACTTGTCGGCTGGTGATTTGGTGCCATGCCCCTTAACTTCTCTGAGAAGTCTGTAAAATGGGGGGTGGGCTAGCTTCCATCCAGCTCTGTCTCTGAGACCTCTTCCAGGTCCAGATCAGCAGGGCTGAGGAAGAAGAGAAACAGGGGACCTGAGATAGAGGAGAGAGACATCTTTTACTTTCCCTACTCCTAGGAATTCCTCAAACTCCCTCCCCAAGAGAGTCAAATACTCCAGCTGGTGAGTAAGGGGACCTCTAAGTTCCAGGTCAAAGGCTCCCCAAGATGGGCATCTGCCCCCCCCCCAACTCTCACTGGCCGGCTGTCCTCACTGTGGAGGGAGGAGGGGCTCAAGGCTAGGGCTGTCCCCAGGGAGATGAAAAGGACTGGAGAAGGGTCTGGGTGGTCCCTGAAAGATGCATCCGGGCGCACGGCTCTGCTGCCAGGATGACTAGCTCTGCCGAGTAACCAGCTTTACAGCCTTCCTCTCTCTGGACCTTAATTTCCTCCTTAGTATAAATAAGGGGGTTGGACTCGGTGATCTGTAAGAGCCCTTCCAAACTGAACTTCTGGGTTCCCTCTGATAACGACAGGCAGAATACTCAGGATACTCAGACCATGGGTGGGGGAGGGCTCAGGGCAGACACAGGGAGGTTGGCCAGCCCTTAACCCTCCCCCTTCTCTCTTCTCCATTTCCAGGAGCTCCCACATCCCCCCACATATCCCCAGATAAGGTGGACATCCCAATAGGTGAGCTGGCCAGACCTCCCAACTCTGGAGGGGAGGGACCTCCACATTTCGCCATCCCTGCCTCCCTTCTGACTCAGGGCCCCTATGCCCAGGAAACTTAGGGGCTGAGAGGCTAGCTTCCAGGACAGAAGGCCCCTTGAACTGGCTGACTTAATGTGCCTGAGGCCTCAGCCAACTTACTGAGGTAAAGGGGGACCTCCAAGCCAGAGATCTCATACAACAATGGACCCTAAGTTCTGAGCTATGTCTCAGAGACTCCATCCTCCGGTACCCAGCCAATAACAGCCTTATCCTCACAGGTCTCACTTCCCAGGATTACACTGTGTCCAACCTTGTCAGATTGGTCCTGGCTGGATTGGTAGTGGCTGCCCTGGGGGTACTTCTGGCTGAAGCCTGGAGGGCAGAATTCCACACACTTTCAGGGTCCCCTTCCCAGGCCCAGGGCCCAACAGCTCCACAGGTGAAGGAATTGCCGCCCTAATGATCCTGGACCCACACTGTTGATCCACAGAGACTGGTCTCAGGGTGGGAGGTCGGGGTGAGACGCCTCAGGGAATTCTAAGGGTCTGCCTAAAGCCATGGGGCAGAGGAAGAGGGAGTGTCTATGAGTCTGTTGGGTCCAGGGACCTGCCAAGGACCTTCATAAAGTACAGAGAAATATTGGTAAGCCCTTGTGTCTGTGTGTCCATCCATCCATCCATCCATCCATCCATCCATCCATCCATCCATCCATCCATCTATCCTTATCTGGATCTAAGGCCTCCTCATGGACCAGGGGCAGGGAACCTCCACCTAACACTCCAATAGAGCGTGCAAGTCAATGCTACCTAAGTGTATGGACACCAATGTACACCCTTATCTTACAGAGCGGGACACATAGGCCTTGGGAGGGGAAGACATTTGCTCAAGGTTATAGAGCAAATAAAAGACAGAGCTGGAGCTGGAATCCAATCGGAAGCCTCCCTCCACTGGGCCCTGGGGGCCTCTTTCCTTCTGGCCTCTTTCCTGGGCTTCCTCCCAGTTTGGCCACCATGACCCAACTCTCTGCTTCCAAGCTCTCGAGGAGGCATGAACTTGATGGGACATCCTGCCCAGAGCAATGCTGCCTCCTGTTCCCATCCTTCCGGATCCACCTCCTCCAGGCAGCCTTCCCTGACCTGACCCTGAATCGGGCTGTCTAGACTCAAGGGCCAGGGGCCTCTCCCTCCCTTCCTTCTTCCCCCTCCCCCAGCCGACACACCCAAGAGGAGAAGTGAATTGATAACAACAGCTCCCATCCATCTCTATTAACTTTAAGCTTAGAACAACAGACATCCTGCCTAGGCAGGAGGGAGAGGGCTCATCCCTGTCATACAAATGAGGAAACTGAGAAGAGAAGGCTACCCAGGTAGTGGCCGCAGGGACGAGCTGAAAAATCTGTCCAGGAGCCCCCCAGCACCAAGCCTGGCTCAGAAGAGACCCTTCAGAAAAGCTGTTGGGTTCCATAGTGCAAGATATAGACCCAACATGGAGGGTGTAGGAGCCAGGGCTTGGAGCCAGGCTCTGGGTGCCAGATGTGCCCTTAGTCACTGTGGGAGCCAGGGAGGAGATGCTGTCTCCTGTCCTCACTTGTCTGCTCTGTCAAACGGGGGGTGTTTAAGCCCTTCCTAGCTCTGAGCCTGGGGGCTCTGGGAAAGGCCAGTGAGCAGGACTTGGGGTCCTAGGGTCCTGGTTCTGCTCCTTAAGTATCTCCTCCCTGGGGCTTTCTTCTTTCTCAAAGGAGGGATGGGACCAGATGAAGACTAAGGGAGACTGTTGTTGTGTTGTGTTGTGTTGGGAGACTCTGGGATTCCTGAGTCCAATCTCTGACCAGTGCAGCCTCCGGGTCCAACCCAGGGACCTGCCACCTTCTGGGTGATCCTAAGGAGAGGAGAATCCAGGACAGAGCCTCCCCTCCAGCCCAACAGCCCTTATGCCTCAGGGAATGAGCAATGTCTCCCCGACAATACCCCAGGCTCCCTGGGTCAGGCTCCAGAGAGACAGAAAGGAAGGAGAAAGAAGGCCGCCCCTGGAGACCCCTCTGAGCCAGAGGAAATGAGGAGTGGCCGGTGTAGGGATCACCCTAGTAATGAGTGAGTGGGTGGGTGAGGGGCAGAGCTGGGAGCCCTTCCCTGCTTCTCCAGCTGAGGGCTGGATGTAGGGAGCAGATACTGGGCAGTCCACCAGGGAAGCAGACGGGCTTCCTGGGGAGGATGGAAATGGAAGGGGGAGGGGAGGGATCTCAGCACTGACTGCTGTCCCACCTTCTCCAGGGCTCCCAGGAGGGCAGCCTTGGCTGAGCGGATGCAGGGACCGCTGGGGAGACCTGTGCTCCTGGCCCTGGAAGGACCCTCAGCCCTTCCCCCCCTGATTCTGGGTCTCTCTTCCTCTTCCTCCCACTCCATCCTGTCTAGTACCATTCCCATCCCCCCATCAGCTGAATCTGGAAGCTATTACTTTCCCAACCCAGGCTCCAGGAAATTCCAGGCCAGGAAGCCGAGCAGTGGGGGCACGGGGCGGGGGGGGGGGTGGGGTGGGCATGTCCGAGGGCTCTGAAGCATCTCCTTCAGCTCAAAAGTGCCCTTTAGCTCCTAAGCCTCTAGAGAAATTCCAGCCTCCTCCCCCCTTGCCCTTATCCCTAATCAAAGGGCGGTCCAGCCCCCTGCGGGGAATTCCTGGACAGCTGGCCCTTTAAATCCCAGAGCCAAACTTTTTGGGCTGACAGAGGGAGGGATGGGGAGGAGGGGCCAGGGACTTAACCCTCCCAACCCCGAGAGGGGCCAGACTGGGCGTAGGCTCCTGATCTTCGGGATCCCGCTCCTGCCTCCCTTCCTGTCATGGCCCCCTCAAACTGGGGCTGACCTTCTGCTGGGCCTGGCCAGGTAGGATGAGACTCGGATGCCCGGATCCCTGACGGGGTGGAGGCTGGTAGGCTGGATGCCAGGGTCCCTGAGTGGAGCAAGGGCTGGGGGCTCAGACGCCTGGGTCCCTGAGGCCCCTCCTGGCTCTCCCTTTGCCAGGTGAAAGGAGGGGGTGCTTGAGGAGGATTTGGTGGCGGACTGAAGGGGGCCCTGCCCCAGCAGAGCGGAGCTGGCCACGACTGAGGACCCTCCCGGGGCCCAAGGATCCCCCTAAAGAGTAAGGGGGACGGTGGGATGGATGGGCCCAGCCCCTGGGCAAAGAAGCCACGTGGGCGAGGGGTGGGGTAGGGTAGGCTGGAGGGTGGAGGGTGCTCAGACTAGGATAGGTTCCCCGCCCCCCAGCCCTCTGCTGGAACTGGAGAACCAGTCCGGCGGGGTCCAGGTGGGTGTGATTTCCGCCTGGGAGGGACTGGCATGTTTGGAGGGGGAGGGGGGGTGACCCAGGGACACGTGGAGAAGGAGGATACTGAGGGGAGGCAGCTGGAGGAAGTCGAGAAGCTGCCCAAGGGGGAGGGAGAGAGAAAAGGGACTCCCAGGGGAGCCAGGCCCTCCAGGGGAACCGTTGAGCTTTACCCACTGGAGATGAGCAGGGGAGGACAGCCCAGGTTTTCAGGGAAGCCTGGCTCAGGAGAGATGGGGGCCTTTTGGAATAGGAGGGAATGCCTCTTTCCCGCTCCACCTCCCCCACCCCTCAGTGCTGACCTGAGCCTCTCCTCTCCTCCAGATGCCCATCCTGAAACAGCTGGGCCCGGCCCTGCCCAAAAAGCGTTTGGACCGAGATGCCATCTCAGCTCCGCTGGGTGACTTTCGGCACACCATGCATGTGGGACGTGGGGGCGATGCCTTTGGGGACACGTCCTTCCTGAGTCGCCACGGCGGCGGGGGCCCCACCCCGTCCCCTGGCCCCTCCCCAGCCCCCTCTGTTGCTCCGTCCCCAGCCCGCCCAGCCCTGCCACCCCCCACCGCTCCCCAGCCCCCACGGCCCTCGGAAAGCCAGTCCGACTCCCGACCGGCCGCTGCAGACCCTTTTCTGTCCTTTCACTTGGATCTGGGGCCCTCCCTCCTAGAGGAGGTGCTAGGGGTGATGGATCGCGGCGCCCTGGCAGACGCAGGAGCTGCCCCGAGTGCCCCCAACGGCGGGCTGCTGACCTCCCGGTCGGGCTTCGGCTCCGAGGAGGACCTGGATGAAGTTATCGGTCTGTAGAGGTGCCCACAGGGGCTGGCCGTGTCGCCCGGGACCCAGGCCAGGGGCCTGACTTGGCCTTGCCTTATACCAGAAGTTTTTATGCGAAGCCCCCTGTATAGCACCCTTCTTCCTCTCCCTCCTCCCCCCCCCTCCATGCCTAGCCAATCCCCCCCCCCAAAAAAAATCTTTATATATAAAGACATATCAACCATTTATTTCAGCTGCTTGGGCTAGAGTGTTTGTGGCAGGGACATGGGACGTGGGCTCAGCCCGTGCTCGTACTCCTCAGCCCCGAGTTAGTCGGGGGGGGGAGCCAGGACGCTTGTGTTTGAATCGCAACTGGGCGCCCTTCTGGGCCTCAGTTTCTCTTTTAGGTCCTTTCCAGGCCCGTGGCAATAGTAACAACCTCTGGTGTTGCCACAGGGAGGGCTTTACGACCCGCTCTTCTCTGAGCCACATCCCCACCCTTACGGGGGCACGATAGATAATCTCCCTGGGCGGGGGGGAGAAAAGGAACAGAGCCGGGCTGGAACCGCAGGCGCCGGCCTCCGAAGAGCGAGTCCCTTTAAGAGCCTCACCCCAGCCTTCGAAGGGGCGTGGCCAGCGAGGCCGGAAGAGCGGACCGGTCACCGGTCCCAGCAGCGAGACCTTTGCCCGGGGCGCGGCGGCCGGAGCCCCGGGACTGCAGCATGGCGGAGGCGGGGGCGGGGGCGGGGGCCCCGGCGCCCATCTGCCGGTTCTACTTGGAGGGGCGCTGCCGCTTCGGGGCCCGCTGCCGGCTCCCCCACCCCGGAGCCCGGGCTGAGCCTCCGCCGGGGCCGCCGTCGGGGCCCGAGGGCAAGAAGCCGTCCATGAAGACCGCCCAGGCTGTGATCGACCGCATCCGCTGGGACCCTCACCTGGACCCCGCCGACTTCTCCGTGGGCTACCTGGACCGCTTCCGCGGCGTGCAGGAGGAGCCCTTCACCGCCTTCTGCTGGGACGAAGAGCTGGCTGCGCTCGGCCCCGGGGTGCTGGCCGTGCCCCAGCACCGCATCCGCTACTTCCGGCACCGCGGCCGCCTCGTGTGGGACCGCGCGTCCCGCACCGACCTCGTCTTCGGCTCGGCAGAGGGCCGTGGCACCACCATCCTGGACGGGCTCGCCGCGGCCGGCGCCCCGGAGGAGGAGGACGAGGAGAACAAGGAGGACGGCCGGCCAGACACAGAGTCCGGCGCCCCGGGGGAGGACGGCCTGCAGGGGACCGAGTGCCCCCCCTGCCCGAGCAGCGGCTCGGAGACCTGGCGAGGGACCCACGACGGCAGCACAGGGCCGGAGCTAGAGACCAAGCGTAGCACTTCGACCCAGGGGCTGCGTCCCACGCATTTCGTGGCCCTGATGATCACTGACCCGGAGCTTCGGGCGGCAGTGGCCAGGGCCCGGGCTCGCCTGATACAAGCGGAGGCCTCCGCGGGCAGCAGCCTGGTGGGCCTCGAGGCCCTCGAGGCCCTCCACCTTACGTTGGTCTTGCTTCGCCTGGCAGGCCCCGGGGAGGTGGCCGCAGCTGCCCGGGCACTAAGATGCCTAGTCCGGGCGCCCAGCTTCCGCTACCCAATGGCGCTTCGTTTCCGGAACCTAGCTTGCTTGGACCGGAGGGTGATCTACTCCATCCCCAGCCCTGGCCTCGAGGACCTGGCCCAAGGCCTGGCACAGGGGCTAAAGGCGGAAGGCTTTCAGGTTCTGGAGCCCCCGGAGGAGTTAGGCCCTCACCTCACTTTGGCCAAACTGCCTAGGGGGACCCCCGGGCGCCTGTCCCTGCCAGAGGCCGAGGAGGGGGCAGAGCTGGGCAGCCAATCAGTGGAAGGGCTTCAGCTCTGCTCCGTAGGGGGGCTGCAAGGGGCTGGGGGCTGCTACTCCATATTAGCCCAGGTCCCCCTAGGCCCCTCCACCCAGCCCAGGGCTCTCAGCTAGAACCTGGCCTTATCAGCCCTGCGGGAGGGGCCCCCCCAACCTCAAGAGGCAGACTGCTCCAAACAAATTGATACCTTCTTCCCTCGCCTCCTGCCTCAGTGGCACCTGGACAGTGCCCCTTGAGATGAGGGCTACAGCAGCAAAGGGGGGGGAAAGAAAGGCCAGCCACAAGTGTCTGTTCATTCTCTCTCTCTCTCTCTCTCTCTTTTTTCTTTATTTTTTTCCAAACCGTGCTCAGCACTCCTTGGTTGCAGGGAAGGGAGGGAGGGAGGAAGGAAGGAAGGTGGGGAAGGATGGTGGGGAGGAAGGGGGAGGGTCAGAGGGAACAGGAACATCTGGAAAGGAGAGGCAGCCTGACAGTCCAGCTGTTTTCGATCTCATTGCACATTATTGAGTTACATGGTAGAAAAGGAGGGAAAGAAGAGGGGTTGAAAAGAAAGGGGGGAGGGGAAAATAATTTAAAAAATAAAATAGCAAAGGAAGAAATGATGCGACCTGGTGACCCATGGAGGCAAGAAGGGGAAAGGAGGGATGACCTTTTTACCTGTGCAGAACCAGAAGGGGGAGGGGAGAAAGAGAAAGGGGGAGGGGGAAAGAAACCAAAACAGACACTGGGAAGGGAGGAAAGGGGGGGACGGAGTAAGACATGGAGACAACTTTATACAACTTGAGATGCATCAGACTTGTGGTCCCGGCGGCTCCCACGGCGGTGATTGGGCATTCGTGGTGACGTCCTCTTGGCTGCAGCAGCGTTTCAGGGTGGGGGGGGTAGGTGTACAGTCTGAAGCAACTCCCCCCAGCCCCAGACAAGATGAAGCCCCCCCCCCTTTGGGGGAAAGGGTAGCAAGAGTCTCTTCAAGGTGGGGGGTGACAGCAGAGTGCAGGATCGGGGGAGGGTCGTCATCCCCCTGGGGCGGGCTGAAGACACCCCCTCTTCCTTCTTCCCCCCAGCCCCCTCCTGCATGGGGGGGCATGGGGCACCGGCCGGGCGCCTGGGACGAGCTCAGGAGAGAAAGAGAGAAAACACTGAGAGAGCGTTAGTGGGGGGGTGAGAGATCAGGGCAGACAGACCTACAGACCCACGGCCCACCACCCGCTCTCCAAACCCTCCCCACTCCCCGCCCGTGGCCCACTCAAGAAAATAAAAACGTAGAAAAATTCTCTGTACAAAATCCCTGGGGTTTCAAAGGCGAGGAGAGAGGAGGCAAAGGCTCCAGCCAGGCCTCTCCCGTATGTACATCCCGGTCTGTGGCTCAAAGAAACCAGTTTAAACCAGTAAACGCTGATGGGGGAGGGCACGGGGAGACCTCCACCAGCCCCTTCTTGTCCTTCCTAATCCCCCCAGCTGGCCCTGGCCCCACCCCACTCCCTACAGGCGCTCAGAAGGTGGGCAGCTGCGCCACGCTGAGCCGGCAGTCGATGCTGGTGTTGTCGGGCCCCAAGTAGCCCAGGCCCAAGGGGGCCAGAAAGGCTCGGCAGGCGGCCTCGCCCTCGAAGGCCAGCTCCCCCTGCACGAAGGAGACGGGCAGCGCCGGGCGGAAGCTATGGAGACAAGAGGAGACATGGATGAAGGGCGGGGGGAAGAGACGGGGCCCAGGAACCCACAGGAAATGGGTCGTCCGCCAACCCCCACCCCCAGTCCCAGCTGAGGGGCCCGACTGGGGCCCCCAGGATGCCCACCCCCCCAGAGCAAAAGGCAGGCTCCACTGGCCGCTGCCAAGCCCACCCCGGCACCCTTCGCGCCCACTTACCTGTGCAGGGAGGTAGGGGAAAGAGAGGGGGCAAAGACAAGGACAGAGGGTAAAGGAGCCAGGAGTCCGAGGCTCCCAGCCCTCAGAGTGGGGCACAGCTCAGGCTGTGGAGCTGGGAGAAGGAAGACAGAGGGAAAGAGAAACAAGCTAGCTACAGGGCAGGAGGAAGCCAAGGCTTGCGGACGGACACGCACACATGCACACCAGGAGCAGCTAACCAGCCAGCCACCCACAGGGCACACACCACACACGGGCACTCACAAGGAAGCAACACAAACAGCCGGCACGCGTCAAGGGGCCCCAGAAGCCCCAGACAAGGCCCCAGATCAGCAAGACTGGAAGGGCAGCTCCATCTAGAAGACTTGGCCAGCCCTGCACTCTCCCGGCTGTGGCCTCAGCAGCGTGCCCTGCAACCACCATCCGGGCTGCCGGGCCCCAGGGCAGGCTCCAAGAGCTGGTCAGCCCAGCACTGGCTTTCAAGTCAGAAGACCTGGGTTCAAATCTGTGCTCAGCTCCTTGAAGGACCTTGGGCACTCCCTTCCCTGGGGGCCCCCACATGTCTCACTGGTAAAACCGGGCGGTAGACTAGATGTTCCTGAAGGTCTCTCCCAGTTCTAAGTCCTATGATCTGAAACCTCGGCATTCTGACGGACTTCCTAAGGAAGCCAACTGCAGATGGGAAAGCTTGGTGGAGACACACAAGTTTGTTTTCCAGTCCAATTTTGCACGAGTGCTCCTTCCGTGCAGACTGGAGTATGCATCAAAGCCGTGCCCCAGCCTCAGCCTGGCTGCTGCCTGAGGACAGGAGGGACAGCTTCCTGTCCAGATCAGGAGTCATCCCAACAGCAGAGTATCTGCCTGGCTCTGGGCAAACAAAAGGCCTTTCCTCAGACTGAAAACTGGCCGGCACGTGGTTCTTGCTACACGTCCTAGAGCGTGAGCAGCTACGAGAGACTGGCCATGGAGATGGCCACATGGGCTAGAGAAGAGCCAGTAGAAAAGGTCAGCTGTGCCGGTCTACACACAAATGTCTGAAGCACAGCGAGGAAGCTCCAAGCACAAGAACGAGAGAACGTCGCAAGGAGCGAGCTGGAACCTCGACATTCCAGACCCTCGCTGGCCTGAGACCCACGACCAGAAAATGCCTCCAGAAAGGTTTCCTTTGCTCTCAGCAAACAGAGCAGTTAACGGGGTGAAAGTCAGGGCAGCATCAGGTTATGTTAAGATATATTTATGAGAGAAAGATCAGGATTCAGAGCTAAGAACCACGCCCCAAGCAGACTCTAGGGTGCCTGCCCACAACTGGGGCAAAGCGCCCAAGCCCAGGCGAGGGACGCCAGGGAGTAGTGCAGCTACCTGTCGACACTAGGGGCTCTCTGACAAGAGCGGAGCCGCTAAGGACCTCCTGCTTCTGGGTCGGATCGGTGGAGGAGGGGGCCTGTCGGGGCAGCTAGGCCCAGCCTCATGGGCCACCCAGGTTTGGGGAGTTTTCCAAGGTGTCAAACAAAGAATCACAGGGACCCCAACAGTCTAAAATTCTGCTGAGGAAACTGGCCAAGAAGGGTGGCATGGTCTGAAGGAGACGCAGAGAAAAAAAGGGGGCCGCCTGAAGAAGCCTGTGCAGATGACCACGGACCTTTCACGAGGCGAGATCTGCCTTGGCCTATGTGCATAAAGGCCTTCCACTCCTCATGCCTCAGGCTCTTCCCCCAAGTGAGTGAGGGTCTCACTGCGGCCTAGCCACAGCAGAGGAACTCAACCCCTAAGTTCCTGCTGTTTCACCTACGCAGCGATGGGGCGTCACAGTGCGCAGAGCGCCACGCCAGGAGTGAGAAAGAAGAGTTTCAATCCTGCTTCAGATACTTAACTAGCTGTGTGACTCTGGGCAAAGCACTTTACCTCTGCCCCCGTTTCTCCACGTGTAGATTGGTGAAAAAAAAAAAACCAGTATTTTCCTTTCAGGCATGTTGTGAGAATCAAATGAAATAAAGCTGAAAAGTGCTTAGCACCCAGCAGCCATGCAGCATCTGGCACAGAGTCGCCACTTAGTAACTATGTGTTTGTGAGTCTCCTTCCTTGCTTGCATTGTTTAGTAAAACTGTAAAACTACAATATAAAAACTCCCCACAGGCCTGAGGGCTGGAGTTCGGCAAGCCCTGTTCTACATGAAACTAAAGTCCACATACAGAAGACGGCAGCAAGAACAAGTCCATAGAGACAAACAGGAAACACAGGCTAGCTGCGTAAGGCTCAGAATGCCAGACAAGCAAACGGTGGTTCTTCCAATGGCAGCCTTGGAAAAGAGGATCAATGATGTGTCCAAGTGGGGTAGGCTCACTACTGGGTGGTCAAGGGAGAGCGGGCACGCCCAAGGGGAGCTCTGGGGAAAAGACGGAGAGACGCCTGGCCAAGAGGGCACTGCCACCCAGGACAGAGATGACCAAGTGTCCCGGAGAAGTCCAAGGCCCCTGACCTACAGAAACATCATCGTTGGGTACCACAGGTAAGGCCCAAGATGGGGCTGAGCCAAAAGCAGATGGATAACCCTGAGACACTGGCAAATGCCAAGGGGACAGGCGGGCTGGAGAATGCAGAGGAGCCAGCACAGGTGGCTTCCCCCAAAAGAGATCGGGTCCCACTGACCTTTCCTTTCTGGACAGAGCTACTGAGCTGCTCCATCAGGGGCACACCCTCTAGTCTGCCTAGACAAAGCATCAGATAGTCACCCGGAAAAAGCTGTGGGTTAGAAGAGAGTCCGTGCAATAACGATGCCACCTAACCTCCGAACAGCTGGTACCAAAGCTGACACGTGAATGGCTAGCTCGGTGTCACTTTGGAAGGCTCAAGCATACACAGCTTCACTTAGCCAGGAGCTCAGAGGCCATCTAGCCCAGCCTTTCTGTGTTTGTTTTTACAGATGAGGAAACTGAGGCCCAGGGGGATTTAGGAACTAGCCCAAGGTCACACAAATAGCACATCGTCTGAGGCGGAATTCGAACCCAAGGCCTCTGACACATCCACTTGCTCTGCACCTCACCCTGCCCATCTCTAGCAGAGAATCCCACGGACCCTTAATAATCCTACCAATGACTTGAATAAATAAAGGCAGAGATGGCCAAGTGACCAGAGCACAGCTGCCGCAAATCTGGGCACAGCAGTCCCACACTGGGTGACTTCTGAAAGCCTACCACATGGGGCTGAACCTAGGAAGATGAGATTCCAGGGGGATCCAGAGGAAGTCAACCACCTCCCCCCAGGCTCCACACAGGGAGCTGGTCTGGGGCCTTCCTGGCCTTCCGACACCACAGGAGCCAGCACCACGCATGCCATCTGGGGCACAACATATAGCAACAAGGAGGCCTGGGGTCCACCTGCACAGCCCCCACCTGGAGAGTCCTGTGTGCACTTCTGGAAGTCACACTGGAAGTAGGACAGCAATTAGCTCAAAAGCTGCCCAAGGCGGGGGACCCGGGAGGACCAGTTAGCCAAACCAGGGGTGCCTGCCCTGCAATGCAGACGTCTCGGCAGGGCGTGAGAACCAGCTGCAAGGACTCCAAGGCTTGTCCCGGAAGGGAGGCCTGGGAGCGATGGGGAGAAGCTGCCAAGAGGCCACCTGAGGCTGAAGGGCAGGAAAAACCCGAGACTCTCCAGCAGCGTCCCGAGCCCTCTCAGAGGCCAAAGCGGCACCGCCACTTTTCAAGGACATCCTAAAGGGGCTTCCTCTGGGGGGCCCGGGCTGGACTAGATGGCTCATGAGGACCTTCTGAAGTTGAGACTCTCTCCCAAAGGCCCGCCGGGCCGGGGGACTGCCCCCAAACAGATCCTGGGCCTTATCTATGACTCAGCCCAGTGACTGCTTAACGATGCTTCTAAACTAACTCAGAAACCACGTATGACAGACAGATATGAATAGAGGCTTCGGAAGGAACAAGAGGAAAGGGTGGGGGGCTAAGAGGAAGACAAGAGACAAAAGGTCAGAAGTGGGAGATGCCAGAGGAGCTGGTGGGAAGGATGAAGGATGAGCCAGGGACAACAAATGAGACAGGAGCTGAGAGAAGGAAGAATGCAAGGGGGTAGGGGGCCGGCACACCGGGAGGGCCAGCCAGTGAGGAGGGAGGGGACCGGCGATGGGGGCAAAGGGAGAAGAGGAGAGATGAACAGCAGGCAGATGGGAGGGGGCAGGCACAGCAATGAGGATGTGGGGGGACTGGGCAGCCCTCACATACGTTTTGATCATGGCCTTGAGAGCAGCCTTCCGTTCCCTATCAGCAAATTTGTCCACGAGGTAGCCAGACATGCAGGGTGCATTCCGGTAGAGCTGGAAGAAACGGTGGTAGTTGCCCAGGGCCCAGGCTGCCCGCAGTGCCAGAGCATGGGCGACACAGGGGTCTGCCTTCAGCTCTCGCGTCAAGTAAGCCAGTTCTGTGGTGATGTCTGCAGGAAGAGGAGAAGGAGTGAGTGCCCCCCACCTCTTCTGAAGAAATCGCCCCCACCCCCACCGTGACATCCGCGCTTCCCACCCGAGCTCACCCCCAGAGTTCTTGGTGAACATGTAGTAGAGGATGCGATAGGCAGTGAACTCCCCTACGTTGCCTGGCAGGCTCTCTGTGTATAGTGACTTCAGCTGCGTCTGGCACTGGTTAAACTCTTCATGGTCACCCTGAAGGGAACAAAGAGGACAGATGAGGCACCAGCCATCGTAAAAGAGGATCATCTGGATGGGAGGACTGGCACAGGGAAGACACAGGGCACTACCAGTGCGCGAGGTGGACAATGGATGGGGGCGAAACCTGGCGATGCGTCGGTAAGGCGGGTGAAAGGAGGAGTGGGAAGACAGGGACCCAGTGACCAGATGGCTGGGGCTACGGGGCAACAAGGACCGGTTCTGGCCTGCGCCTCCCTCACCTTTTCCAGGGCGATACGCGCGTGTGTCTCATACACCTCCACCGTGAACTCTGTTCGGACGCCTTGTACCTGAGGAAGGAAGGACGTGTTTCAGACACCCCAGAGACTCCAGCTCTCCTCGCCCTTGGCCCCTTGCCGCTCTCAGTTCCCCTGGCCCGCCGTGCCCGCCACCCCCAGCCTGGGCTGGGCCACAGGACTCACGGTCAGGTCCTGCCGAATGGACTTCATCTGTTCACAGGCAAAGGCATAATCCTGCTTCTCCTTCCAGTGAGACTTCACCATGGACAGCGACTTCTTCAATACCTGAAAGGGAGGGGACGATTCTGACCTCAGGCCGAGAAAAGACTGCAGGGGTGACCCTAACTGGGGATTCAAGGGCAGGCTTGGGAACTGGTGTGGATGGAGAGTACCCACAACAAGAAGAGAATCATGGGAGAAGGGGAAGAAATCAGGCCCCAGTCTCAGGGCAGAGGGCGGTCATGCTGTCGGCTTCGGGGAAAGGGCTGTCCTGGGCCAGCCCACCAAAGTCCACTCCCTCGGAGCAGTCACATCAAGGTCAAGGGCCCTGAGAATCACACTTACAGCCACAGGCCTCACAGTGGAGGGGTCTGGCGCACAGGTAAGTCGGAGGTAGTGTTTGGTGATGTCCGGGCAGGTTCCCACAATCTTGAGCTCATTCCAGTCAGGGTCGGTGCTCCCACCATCCAGGCTGCCCATCTGTAGTATCAAAGGCTCCAGGCGTAGGCGCCGAGAATGCCCATGTTGGAATCGAGCGGCCCGCTTCTGTTTCTTCAGCTCCCGCTCAGGGTCCTCACACTCCATGGCTGCCACCGGCTTCTTGCGACTGCGCTTGGCGGGGACGAGGTCATGTCTGTACGAGGGGAAGACCATTAGACACAATCCAAGCCGGTTACCGGACAAGGGCACCGAGGACGCAAAGAGCCCCAACCACAAAGAAGCTTCTGGGGAAGATGATAAGGGATGGGGATGCGGACTGGGGAGCTCCCTGCAGGAGGCGGCACCCTGATCCCTGAGGGCAGGCCCAGGACACAGCCTAGCTGGGGCAGCCCCTCAGTCCTCTATCCACAACACGGCCTCCCCCTTCCTCTGTCGGGCCTTGACTCTTCCTAGCCCCCAGAAATAGCCCGGTCATCCTCGGTGATACTTCCTCACCTCAGGAACCAGAGGCCTCACCTTTTCCCACGCTGCACACGCCCTCGGCCCCGGTCCACGTGAGCACCCCGGCCGCCCCGGCCTTTGGGTGGCGGATTTCTTCGGCCCCCTGGATGACACTCGCTGCCCGAGTAGGAGCTGTCAGAGTCTGAGTGTGAGTCACTAGGGAAACACGGAGCGGGGAGGGAAAAAGACTGGGGGGTCAGGCCAGGCCCAGGCCAGGGCTCCAAACAAGACGAGGAACTCTCGTCTGCTAGGCCCCGTCTGGCCCGGATCTCCCACCCAGTGCCACTGCCATTACCTGCGGCGGAAATGCCGGGAAGGGGAGCGGGAGGAAGAGCGGGAGCGGGAGTCTGTGCTTGAGGAGGAGCTGTTATCCTTCATGAACACATTCCGATTCCCAAACTTGGTGCCGAAGCCGCTGCCGCGGCCCCGGCCAGCGCTCCCAGTGCCCCCCGCCCCCCGCTGGGGCTGAGTCCCACCGCCCCGCGGTGCTCCCCCCGCTCCTCGGGCAGGGTGCAGGACAGCTGAGGCTTCCCACCGCTTCTTCTTGGGGCTCTCAGTTGCAGAATCCCTGCTCAGCCTGGAGAGAGGTAGAGAAAAGTCATTCCCCTCCAACCTTAGCTCTGGATTATTGGGTACAGGGACTCACCCCCTCTGCCCAGCAAACTGGCAAGTGACCGAGGGCTGCCGCCGCCAGGAGAACAGTCAGGGCCAAGCCCCATGGGAGCGTGCCCTCCTCTCCTGCCGCGGCTGAGCTAGCCGGCACTCAGACACTGCGTGACGGGCTCAAGGGCTCGCAGGGGGCTGGCAGAAGCCCGAGCGCATGCGACCCGCCTCCCCTTCCCTCCACTGACCCCGGCAGCGGCTCTCGGCTCCAGTCAATGGTATAGGCCGAGCCGTCCTGGAGCCGGGCCTGCAGGACCTCTTTGAGAAGCTTCTCCGTCCGGTCCTTATCCTCCTCAGACTCGCAGGCGGTGAAGCACCGCTGCACATACTCTTTCATGTCCTGGGGCCAGTCTTCGGGCTTCCCCGATAAGTTCCGATTTTGGGGCATGCTGCAGGGGAGGAGGGGAAAAGGAGAAGGGAGAAGTGTGAAGGAAGCGCCGCGTGGCCTTGACCCTCCGCCACACTCACAGGAAGAAGGGGCCGGAAAGGCTAGGAGAGGCCCCCAGGCAGGCTCGGGCTCGAGAGCTGGGGAAGGCGGTCACCTGTGGCTCTGCGGCTTGTCCGGATTGGCCTGGGTCCCAAAGCCGCTGTGCTGTCCCTCAGAGCTAGAGCTAAAGTTCTGGCTGGTGACCACAAAGGGCCGTTTCTGGATGTTGAACTTGACGCTTCCTGCCCCTGGGGCTTCTGGGAAAAGTGGGAAACAGCAACAATAAGGGCCAAGGTTGCCTTTCTCCTCACGGACCCCCAGGACTCCCAAAGAGGAGGGGGGAAAGAGGATGCACCATGAGGTTGTAAGTCACTCGGCAAAGAAGAGCAAGCCTTGGCCCTAGTTTCTAAGGGAAGGAGGCAATTCCAGGAGAGGGCCCAGAGCAGACTTCAGTGCATCCAAAACCCCGGGGGGTTTGTCTCCCCCTCCCACCAGGAACTCCCTGACCTTCACCCGTGGGGCTCCTATAAGTTGAGGTTGTCTATTCCTAACACTGTCTCAGTGACCAGGGCCCTCTTAGCCCAAACTGGCCCGAAGAGAGCCCTCAGAAACTCACGTTTCATACGGTTCCACAGCTGCTGTCCTTTCTTGGGCTTGGGAGGTTCTGAGTAACTGTGCTGCCCATAAGCCTGACTGGTGACCGGGCTAGCTTGCCCATGCTGGCCCGGGGAGGCCCCGGGCTGAGCCCCGCTCCCCATCGTGTGGCCTGTGTGTTGGGGGGGTGGGGGTGGCTGAGGGGGCTGGGCTGCTGGTAACTGCTGAGGAGGGGCCGGGTAGGACATCGTGTCTTCCATGCCAGGAACAGGAGGCTAGCAAGATAAGAAATGTGGTTGCTGGAGGAGGGCCTTAAGAGTCAAAGCCATGGTCTAGCCAATCAGCCCACAAAAACACAAGGTCAGCCTCAAACAGATGAAAAGGTAATTGTGAAATGTTTAACGAGATACAGATCATAATGTTAATTTGGTTTTTTTCCCCCTACATTAACGTATGACCCACAGAGATGTTTCTATTTGAGTCTGACCCTACTGTTCCAAACATTTGGCTTGGGGAAAGGGGAAGAAGGAAGTATTTATGGACCCCACTGACAGCCTGGTGAAGCCTATGGACTCCTTTCTCAGACTTCGTTTTTTTAAATGATGAAAATGCTGTATTTCCACAAGAAGTTATTCAAAATAAACATCGTTTTTATGCCTGTCCAATTCGGAATCACCAGAAATTTCTCCATGGGGAAGAACCCGAGGCTGACAGAAGGTAACTGAGGGGTAGGGGAGGCAATAGCCAGGTTCACAAATCAAAGCAGGAAGGGTCCTCAGGGCCCCAGATTTCAAGCCTGCTACTTGACAGATGAGCGAACCAAAGACAGAACCACGTGGTCATATACGTATATCATCTACAGGACCAATCCATCAATGGAGCGCCTCCAAACTGCCACAAGAGTTCTCCTGCCAACATCCCCTGGGGTCGTGCAAAGAGGATGCCCATTTTATCAATAAGGAAGTTCAAGTTCAGAAAAGTAACTTGCTCTCTTACCACAGCATTGACTTTAGGCCATCCAGCCCTACCCCTTCTCTTTACACAGGGGAAACAGACTGACACTTCACCCACAGGAGCACGCACCCATAAATGCTGGAGGCCAGGCTCCAAGCCAGGTCTTCTGGCCCTGAGCCCAGGCCTCTTTTCCTTATGCCACAGGATCCAGGTCCCCGTAAGGCCCTGCAACCTTTGGCTCTGGGACTCCATGGATCTCCCCAGGAGGCAGCAGCCAAAGCTGGGTTAACCAAGATTGTCATCCCCTCTGCCAGGGGAAGGTGAGCTCTGTGGCATAACTAATTAAAAAGAGCTCTGCAACCTTGGGAAAGTCACTTCACTTCCATGGGCCTCAGTCTCCTCATCTGGAAAACGAGAGGTGTGGATTTAAGATAGACTAATGTCCCTTCCAACAAGGAACCTATGACCTTCTGACTGATCCCAGCCCAGAGCTCAAACTCTCAACACAGGCCTCAGGCCTCTGGCTCCTGGGAAGCAGGGTTGAGATCATGAGACCCTAAGGCTTTTTACCTGGGTGAGAGCTCCCTGGTGCTGCCCAGGAGTCGCTGCCTGCTGTGGTGCTGCTGTCGCATAGGTGGTGGTCAGGCTGTACTGGCCTGGGGAGCCATAGCTTTGGTACATGTTCTAGGAGACAGGCCAGCGGTCAGTGGGGATGCCAGCATGGACTCCCCTTTGGCCCCCTCCCTCCAGTCCCCGGCACTCACCATAGGGTAATAGTAATTGTAGGGGTAGGCATAGTTGTATTGCTGGTACCACTGGTAATACTGCTGCTGCTGGAGCGCGGCTGCATCGGCCTGAGCCACATACTGAAGGGACACAGGTGGGGGGGCAGGGCACAGAGTGAGGGACACAGACACACACCCTCCTCCCAGGTGCTCCGAAATACACTTGGGGAAAAGAGGGGAAGGGGCAAGAATGATTCCACTCCAGCCGCCCGGCCTCGCGCTCTTTAGTACCAAGTAGAAAGGTCGGGGGTCGTGTTCCCATCGCCTCCAGACGCTACTCGTGGCGCTTCCCCAGGAGTGGCCCCATCTCCCCCCACCCCCCTCCATTCCGCAGGGCGCCCTTTCCCCTCCCCCTCCCCACACAGCCACCCGGGGCGGGGGGGGGGGGGGGGCCC